CCGGAAACAGGGTAAAGAACATAGTAGATTTTTCAGGCAGATGCTACTCTGTCTTCTGTCTTTTGCTTCACTGCATAAAATACATCAATCACCCTCTCGCTCATCTCTCTAATCTTGTATGCGCCATTAATTAGGATCCGCATACTCTAAAAAACTAAACAATAAACGGGACTGACTAAGTTCTGCACAGTTGGCTGATACTTTTCAAACTCAGAAGATCGATCGAGTTTATCATGACGTCTCATACGTCATCATTTTCCCCCAGGCGGCCCCGACTTTGAATCAAAGATGTGGTGTTGGCGAGGGTTCGGTGTCCGCAGTTTGTGACAGATCAACAGGCCGGGAAGGTCACAGGAGAACCATTCGTCAAATCTTCACATTCGTCTTCGTTCATCAAACTTGTCTCCGTTCATCAGACTTGACGTTTGACGAAGACGTAACGTTTCTCCTATATGTTAGGTTCCTCAGTGAGTCATTGAAATACTAGTAAAAGAAAACAAAACAGAAGTGTTTCTTTATTTCACAGTGGGTTTATGTTATTGGTATAAAACATAAAACCTACTAAAATGCCACACTTTTCTTGCCATCTCAACTGCGCTAGTACAGAAATTTAGTTCTTTTTCCTACTTATTGCGGCAAATGCGCGTTAGCTATATTATCTAATTATAAAGGAACACACTAGTACTTAACGGAGACTGATAAGTGTGGACAATTGTACGTAGATTCTTGCTATGCGAACCTCCTTCCTTTTATTATTGTCATTCAGAATCGCTGTATGGCCACCATACAAGTGTAAAACATAACGGTTACCCCCACTTTCGCTCCTTGGGTTTTGCATCTCGACTGCCCTGGACCCCACCTAACTCCGGTATCACAGGAGGGTCGTGATGGATAAGTCCCATGATGTTTGTGATATATCGATATACTGTACTGGGTTTACAACAATTTGAACAAATTAAAGTCCACGACCACTACACACTTATCATTGTTTTAATCAGTTCACCACAAATGTTTGCCAATATACTTAAACTGATGCCAACTCGTAAAAGCGCACGCTGAAGAGGTTAACTGTACTCGAGGTTAACTGTTAACTGTTAGCGAACTAACTACCCTGGAATTTTATCTGTCTACTCTCCAAGCAGAGGTTTAGGTTTTGGCTTATTTTTGGCTTGTTTTTAGGCTATCTTACCGGTGTTTCGGTTTTGCACTGGGTTGGCGTTAACAAATTCCAGTGCAAAAAAAAAACGAATAAAAGAAGCCTAAAACACGCCAAAAATAAGCCAAAACCCAAACCTCTGCTTAGAGAGTATTGCCTGTGTGGCCCGTTTCTACTCTTTCCAGCCGCCTCTGAAGCCTGGTAGAGGCTAAACTCGTAAGCTTGATCTTGTTCGGACTAGTCTATTGTTGATGTTGCCACATTAGCATGAAGTAATAATGGAGGGGCAGTCCTGGCACTTAGGTGCTAAATGTGGAAGAAAGGTTTATAAGCGTTTTAATGGCATTTAAGAAGGGACAAAACTAAACATTGTAGAAAAGGGAGAACGACATTTGGTTTGCCGCTAAGGCAACAAGACGTCGTTAAAAGAAAAAGATTTTTCATTAAACTTTTTTGCCGATGTCCTTACGAGTAACTGGAAGAGGACGGCCCATATCAACAGATGTCATTAACTCTCACTAATTACCTCCATTAACTGTCAGACGCTTCATTCTGCCAGGGAGGGGCGCAAAGGGACAAACAATTAACACGTCAGCAAATATGTATAAAAATTCATGATGCAGGCAGATGTTTGTCAGTTTTGTTTCCTTGTTATTTTTCCCGCGACAAGTCTGAGACAATAGCGGAACAAACCGATACAAATCTGGACAGGCAAAATGTGTAACTTTTCTAGAATTCCACCGGCCTGATATCGTAGCATAGCTAACCAAAAAGACGGCGTTGCGTCCTTGTAAGATTATCCACATCTCTGTGTCTAATCTGGGGATTTTAGGAGACGGATTAAGCGTCGATCTGCCACGTTCATCTTCTTTGTCTCTTCAGGTTGCTCACAGCGGAAACAAAGACAGATTGTTATGAAAATAACCGGCGTAGTGCCAAGTACAATGGGCTTATGGCCATTGTTATGTTGTCTCAAAGCAACTCTTACGCGAAGTTTCTCCTCAAAGGTAAAAAAAGTAGAAGTTGGCAGCCTAGTGGTAAATGTACACTGGGTCATACATTGTTCCTGCACATATCTAACACATAAAAACGAAACAGGACAATGTTTTGTACATGTACATGTGGATCTCCTAGTAGATGCAATGAGCTTTCAATAATGCATTGATAGAAGCAACATGATACAGTTAGCAGCATTGTACTTCAACATTCAGGTCTGGTGGACATCTATGGTGTAGTCATGATGCATGTGTTTGTAATAGACTCTGTCTGTAACACCTTTCTGAGGGAAGTCACTCCGTCAAGTTTGATGTACCGTAAACGATAGCAAAGATGGATGGAAAATCTGAAACCCCAGCAAGGGATGTTCTGAATGAATGTCAAAGGCGTTTGGTGTGTGATGGATATGTCTCCTGTGATCTAGACGGGACAGGAGGGCAATCCTTGGTCCTATGGTGACTTCTCTTGGCGTTCTCATCGTAAACGATACCAAAGATGGATGGAAAAATCTGAAACCACAGCAAGGGATTTTCTGAATGAATGTCAAAGGCGTTTGATATGTGATGGATATGTCTCCTGTGATCTAGAGGGGAGGGATGACAATCCTTGGTCCTACGGTGACGTCTCTTGGCGTTCTTACCGTGTCGAAACGATTACGTCCGTGGAGTTAGCCTGAGATGTACGGGGGAAAGAACTGAACATAATAGCTGTCAAGTACAGCAATCAAAGTGACTGATAGGTCCCTGGACAGTGGACGGCACCGCTGAAAATCGAAACAGTGATTCTGTGGTTTAGCGTTATTTTGTACAAATAATTTCTTTCAAATTTAAAGCAAACTCTACGGAGACTTTGCAGGGGCAATGTTGCTGTAAAGTACGGTCTGATAAGTTGAAGGTTCTTACTCAAAGTTTTCAAATGGCCTTTGTTCTTCCTCATTATCACGTACGTGACAGTCAATTATTCTAACCAAGGGGATGGCTTCACACTTGAGCGTTATTTGCCTTTACAGCCAAGTAAATGAAGATCAGAAATGAGAAAATACAATTGACTTGGGGAACTGATATTCATAAAAGCTAACAAAAACTTGAACCGATGTTTGGTGACAAATAAGATAGAAATATACTTTTATATAATTGTTAGATGTCTCTCTTATGGCTGGCTTTTCTATATCTGTTTGCTTATAACCGTGAATCACTGAAACAAAGGATTTCTACATAAAAATCACGGCACAAAGCAGAAGACCTACGGAGGGCGAAAGGTGGGAGAGCAGTAATTAACAACTGACAAATATTTATACACATTAATTAAAATTCTAAAGGGGCAGATGTTTGTAAGTTTTGCCTTATTCAACACTTGTCCCTCCTACACATTCCAAAACAATACCGTTACAAACTGATTTAACATAAGGTAAGCAGCGAACGTAACGATTTTCTGTTCAAACGGCCTACAAAAAGAAGAGGATAGTCTTGTAGGCAAATCCCAGGTATATATTTCCAATCCAACTGTTAGCTGTAAGGAGATAGCTGGATCGACCACACAAAGTGAAGTAAATCCCAATAAGCTCATTGGTTTAGGTAAGTTAAGAAGTTGCTAACAATGGCTTTACTGTGATGAAAATATTGGATATGCAGAATTCATAAGGGATTACCGACTGTGTAAATGTGGACATTTCGTACAATGCATTTGTTCAAACATGGTGTATCTTTTTCTTATTCTCACAACAGTGCTAAAGACTATTTACACAGTATTTTAACACTACAGACTACATTAATGATTCTATTAAAAAGTTCCAGTCATCATTCCAGCCAATCATTGTTATCATGATAACTATGCATGATTTAGTTCAAGGATTGATTGAGTGATCATGATTCTTATCTTTATAAATACATATATTCCCCTTCTACTGGCTCTGAATATTTACCATACTAATCAAAGAACCAACATATGCATATTATAGAAGAAGTGGTTAAATTCGTCTTGGGTGTTGGCTTGGTACAGTATACACAACTTTGATAGCTGTAGTTGGCCTTTTGGAGAGACAGGTTTATTTTTCAAAACATAAACAGTGAGTCAAGTGCTATGTACTTCACCAGATTGTACACTCTATTTGTGTATAACAACTGAATAAACCCCTAATACTGCCCATACACATACATCAACACACTGCATGTACAAGTATTCTTGGGCTTTTTGTCTGGTGGTTGGGAAAGAACTTAAATGTTTTCTTCGTCTATACTTGGTGTTTGGAACGTTGTTGCCATGACTTGAGTGTGTTGCGGTGCAATAAAAGTGATTAATAGACTTTCTGTAATCAGAGTCGCTCATTAGGATTTACAAAATTGCCACAAGGATTTAGGTTCCGCCATGGTTAAAAAAACGGCATCATTCGAACTGGTGTTAGAAACAGGGTGGCAAAGAACAGTAGGGTTTACTCGCAGTTTTAGTTTTCAGTGACTGATTTAATTATGAGGTGACGTTTGTTTGATGTGAAGTTATCTTTGCTCATGTACAGTGAGCGCCGCTACAAAGTTGCATAGCTACAACGAAGTAGGGATTCCCCAGTTTCAAACGTCGGAAAACAAGGCTTACTGCGTTTAAGTCGACGAAAGTTGCCACGTGCAATTAGCCAATTCAAAGATATAATTTTACCACAGTGGTTGTTCCATTCTCCAGACCGCGCTAGTTTGGCTACAGTAGTTGGTATAAAGTCGCGTCGCTACACGTTCCTACGCAACAGTGTTCCACGTGACCGATTAGGAAGGTAATAAATTACCTGTCCAATATAACATTATAGGGTTGACCTGTAGCTGATGACAACGCAAACAAACACTGCCCTGAGTATATAATTTTGTAGCCGCGGTAAGAACGGAGTTTATATCTGCCTCACTGCTACGAGATTTCGCTGTCAAAAATTCTCTCTGTGTATCGTGAGGGTGAGCGAGGATGGGGAAGTGTTTTTCAGCAGCCGTGGACGCCTTGGATGACGACAACCACAGTCACCACAGTCATCACAGTCACCACGGTCATGGTCACGGGCACGGGCGCCACAAGCTTGGGCTGGGCTGCTGCCTAGCGCTGTGCTGCGGCATCTGTATCGGCCACAAGATGCGGTCAAGGGCAAGTTCTCACTCCAGCCACCACTCGCACAAGTCTCACCACTCGCACCGCTCTCACAAGAAACACAAGAAGCACAAGAAGCACGGGCATGGGCATGGCCACCGGAGGGGGTCCAACTCCAGCTAAACAGACAGGTAAGGAATAACATACACCTGGAATTGTCCTGATATTGCATTTATGATGTAACAACATAAATTGTATATCTAGCAGTTTCTTATACAAAGGGATGTACTGGTTATAATCTCCGTATATGTCTGCATATAATGAAGGCAAAGAATTGACGTAAGTCTCCCCCTCGAACCACGGAAAGTCGCCATGCGTCCTTGAGGGAAAACAAAGTGTATCCATTCGGGTCAAAGTTCACCCTATCGCCAGGTAGACGATATGATACTGTAGTACCTATAGGGATTATATCTAAAGCTATTCTGTGACTAGTTTTGGCCTCAGTTAAACACAAATGTCTTCTTTAGGTTGGGAAAAGTCAGATTTTGACTCAGCTGGGGGCTGTCAAACACAGGGCGTTACCGGCGAACGTCGACTAAATGTGTTATTTACTCAGGGCGGACCCTTAAAGTGCCGTGTTGTTACTAAGGAACAGGCGTTCCTCGTTACGTACGAATGCACATGAAGCTACAGTAGTGATAGATACAATAGTCACGGTCGACCATACTTTGTCTTGGATTGATTGAGAACTTCGTGGAATACTGAAATCAGAAGATTGAAACATTATGCAAACTTTTCTTTGATTTCATGATATCCTTTAGTAGACTAGTACTCTGTCGTGAAACAATCTACGCAGTAAATGTGTCAGTTTATCAGTAGAAATGCCTTCTTGTCCACCCCAGAAAGCTATGTGAAAAACTCTGACGTCAATTGTCATTACTGCATAGCAACAGTCATTACTTTGAACACTGCACTGTATTTTCCTGTATGAAAAGCGAAAAGAGTCCCGAAGAAGAGATAGAAGACGAACGAACGTTTCTGACGAAAAAGTTGCTTTAAAGTTCCTAAGAACATAGACCGCCCATTGTAAAGACAGACTAACATTTACTCTTCTGTACTCCGTTTCAGAAGTTGGACTTTTAAGAGCTCTGGGACAACAGACGACGGACGTCTGCTCCTGAGAGGGTCATGAGAGCAACATTCTACTGCAGTATACACAGTCACCCATCTATCTGTCTGTGGACCGTCTATATTCAGTCTGCCCGGCGATTTCTAAGGTTACATAGAACGATACAAAATTCATTGGTAACAAACGTAACATGCAACCCCCAAACTTCAAAGTTGAACTTGAACCAACTGAAAGTTTTGACACAACGCAACTAGGCCCTATTATTATTACTAAACTCATTTTGTTTACAGAACTAAAAAGTTGATATTAAAGTTGACATTAAATTTTTTTATTGTAAAATGTGAAAGACTATGTGACAGATTTTATGGATATGTTCTAGATCTATTTTTGATAAAGATATATTTGCCAGATAGAGTACAATTTGTTTAAAATCCCGGCAGTGCAGGCATTCAAACCCACATGGCTATTGTAAAGACGCTGTGCAGTTTATCTGGTCACTATAAAGTAATTTGTTTTGTTGTGTTTGTGTGTATCCATGACTAAATGAGTTCCCCGGGTCAATACAATACTCCAAAGTGCACAAGGGTCAATGTCTAATAGGTCTGGAACAAAATAGAAGACCTTGTAGAAGGGGAACATACTGCGATATGTCGAAGATCTTCTGACTCGTCAGGAAATTCTTATAGTCTGTAATGATTAAGCGGAGCCAACAGACATCGTTTAGTCATTTCTGTTATGGTCCAGACCATCACATGTGAAAATGTCCCTGTTCTATTTGTGTACATTTAGTGGTAAATGTTGCTACCTTGGTTTTCATTTGTTGAGTTGATGGTTTGTTCACCAAGCTACTTTACCACTTATGATTCTGCACCTGATCACCTCTACGTGTAATAAATCAGCTAATATATCGGTGTTGTTACAAACAAGATGTCTGGATTTTTCTATAATAAGCGCTCTGTAAGGAGCTCGAGGTTGATATCTGACCAATAAAAGTGAGAGACCGAAATATTTTCGCGTAGCAAGACAATTTGAAAAGTTGACAAGAAGGTAGCCCCCGCCTCCCCATACGTTTGATACCAGGTGATATGATCCATCCCTGAACCCGTCATTCCTTACACGTGGTTTATGCTAACGAATGTCCTATATATAACAGTCTTCAGGTCAAGTGTCCCAACGTGGGAGGTGTATCTTTTCAGCTGTGTGTTTTAGCGGCTGATCTGCAGTGGCAACATGGAAGAAAAGATACGGCCATCAGCAAATTCCACCTGTTGTCCGTCTCTACATGGTCCATTTCCCGTGGCTAATGTACGGCTCCTAATCTTTCCAAACCCACGCGAGGGGAGGGCAGGTCATGGCTTATCAATCTTTTCTGCCTTTGTGGTTCTAATCTTTCCAGCACACAGCTTATAATCCAGGAGTGGGAGAAGTTTCGGAGAGGGCGAATTCGCCATCTTGTTTCCATGATGACGTCATGATGACGTACCGTCTCCATAGAAGACTTCAGGAGGTCCCTCAAACCTGTTTGCGTTACGGTGCACTTGAACCTTAGATGACAAGAAGCGATAGGAAAGCGACGTCTTAAGAATGATATCTGTTTTTCTTTAAGAGTGCTTGTCAGAAGAAATAGGCGTGAAATCCTCCCACGCGTCTTGCCGGTCCTTCAGATGACACGTGCAGTGACGAGAGGTAAACACCAGGCGTCGTGGCGGGACAGGTAGAAATTAGGGTCGTGTGGCGTAACGACAGGCCGTTCGAACCAAGAGGTCCCGAGTTCGAATCCTTGGGAAAGGCACTTGACACGAATCACCTCACTTGACTCAGGTGAAAATGAGTATGTCTGTTGTCCGTTCATGCGTTTGTCTGTGTTGGTGGCGGCATAAAGAATATGTTGAAGAAACTTGAGTGTGCCGTCACCATATCTCGTGCTGAATGTTAGAATAGAAATTAAAAAAAAAAGAAATGGGAGGGGGTTCATGACGGTGTACCTATATTGGTACTCTCCCAAGAATTCCCGAACTCCCCGCCGCTCACATGGCTGGATTTCAGGCTAGGTGTTGGGTTTGCCGAAACTTTGAAGATAGCAAATGATCCAAAATCTGTGGGTGGGCAGTACGCTTGTATCGTGCAGCCTTGTTTAAGAAAGAGATCAAATATCTATGGCTTGAATATCGAAGAAACTTGAACGTTACTATCCCTCCTGTCTTCAGTGTGTTGCTATGTCCCCTCTCTATGGCACGCTGCTAGTGTTGGTCCTGAAATGATTTCCCATAGAAGTAAGAGTTCGGCCTCTGGGTATGAATATTTCATACCCGACTAGTGACAACCCCTCACCCTACATGTTCCGCCTTCGGAGAAAAATAACACTACAAGTTGCAAAGAAGTTGGAGAATGACAAGATCTGACAAGAGGCAGGTTATCAGTTTGTTTAGCTAAGTGGTCTCTCCACTTGGCTGGAACTCTTTAAGGGGCACTCTTTCTCCATGCTCCATTTCAGACCGGATTACGGACTGTCCTTTCCTTTTATTTTAGACTGTACATCGAACTACGTAAACAAGCGGAGACCCTAGCGGTTACATATAGAGAGAAAAGTTGTTGTATTGCTCCCTTTTTTTCCATGAAGCTTTCAAGACCCTTTCAAACGTTACGCATTGAAGTTACGTGTTCATGTATGTCTTGTAGGATACATCGACGATTATGCCCGTCTTTCGGTGCTAGAAAACAAAAACCTTTCAAACGTGGTGATGATAAAATTCCCACTTCTGCCAAGTCAGGAGACACCTTAGTAAATCCTCTGTTCAAGTCACATGAGGCGCATGAAGCACAGGGTATATCTTCGAAACTCCACCTGAAAATACCGTCCATTTTTATAAAAGTGATATAAAATAATGACTAACAATCTCCTCTCTGGGAACCGTACATGCAAAAACTGGCGCACAAAACGAGCAAATAAAGAGAAAAGTTAAGCGACGGTCACAACTCGCCGTACGTGCTTCTGCGTGCTGTCTACGTGCAAAAACGTGGGCAAACGTACGGCATCCGTGCGTGGTGAGTACCGCCTCCGTACGGAATCCTACGGATTTGGGAGCACGCAGACACGCCGTAGAACCTTAAGTGCATGTAATACTTTTTCTACGTGCGGTCTGCGGATTTACCACCCGTTCGTGTGAGTACGTGCGACGCGCGTGCCCCGTACAGCCTATGAGCGTGCAACGTACGGACTCCGTGAGTCTAACTTCACTATTCTCACGTGCAATTGCTGTACGGACAGCGCACGAAGCACGTGAGTGCCACGCACGGTGCTTGCGTCATCCGTGCTTACTCCTCACTTCCCAGTTGACCTGCTCAATGACCACGCAGAACACACGTGCACCATACTAGGTGCTCCGCACGTGCAACGCACGTGCAACGCACCTTATTTCTACAGTATATAAAGACGACTTGACGGGCGATTGCCAACTCGTCTCCAAGATGCCCAGGAAGGCTCAAAAGAAGTCTACCAGACAAGATCCAAAGAAACGGGCCGCGGAAGACACCAGGGCGGCTAGTGATGATGAAGTTAACAGGAGTTGCACGCACTTACAACGTGCGAGTGAGTAAGGAAATCGTGCGCACGCCGCACGTGTAGGTACGGCCTGTACGCGGCAAGGTGTCAATCGCACAGAGATCGTACGTTGTAAGCACGTACAACTCACTTACCACTTGCGCAACGTACGATGCACACAACCGCTGACGGCCAGGCGTGTCGTGCAGACCACGTACGTACACCTTGCGAGTGACGTACTCCCTCGGCCGGCCACCCTACGTTTGCAGAAAAAACGTAGCAGACGTAGCCACGACAAAAACGTACGGACAAAAAGCACGCACGGCGAGTTGTGACCGAGGCTTTAGGATAGCTTGGCAAAACAAGAACCGGTTTCCATAGCAATGGTATCATCTCTATTTGCACGAGGGATGATCGACTGAAATGAATTTGAAACATCAGTACATTCAATAAAGCAAGTAGTCTAATTATACAGTAAATCTAGCTGATGCGTATGGAGACAACAAAGCCCTTCATTTGCGGAGAGCCTTAGCGCCTTGGAGCGAGGCTAATCCGTGCAGATGCTGCAGAAAGATGCTTGAGCACTTTTGTTGGGAAATATAATCCAATTTCATGGTGCGGATAAGGGAATATGTGGAGTTGGGTCGGCTGTAATCCCACAATTGTCAGGAAATGTTTTGTACCTAATAGTCTCCTTGGTCATTGGATACTCATTATCAACAATACTGACTGAGATATTGTTGAATTTACAGTACTGTATTCTAAAAATGAAGGGAAAGTATCAATGTTAATCCCGAATTATAGAGCTATGAAACATGCATATATATTAACCATGCATTGAGAGATATTTGATTGGTGAAAAGACCTTAGTTTAGTATGTCGTCCATGTTTTCTTAGGAGCGATGAAAAAGATTAGATGAGTAGTGGATATGGTGTGGTATGTATTCGTTTGTTTGATACTCACGTAGGGCAAACCCAAAGTGTATGATAGTGTTTCAGCGTGTTTAGTAAGTTTAGAAAACGCGAAATCCCACATTGAAGGACTCCGTGTTAAGTATTTACCAAACGTTGACGACAACGTGGACAATGGGTGATAGCCCCTAACAGGATCGGTTCCGCTCGGGGAGGATCGTCGCCACAAGACGTCCCGATTCGTGTTTATTCGGGCCCCCTCGGAGGCGCCGGAGGAGCGCCGATGATCAGCCCGTAATACACATACACCCGGCGCCTGGACACGGCAAATCCGCACGGTGAAGGGAAACAAATTAGCGGAGACGAAACGCACCTGGCCTTTCACAGACGATCCGGTGAAAGGATACACTGACAAAGCTGCTGAAGTATTGTTCATGAAGAGGAGAGAAAAAAAATACAGATTTGCCTCGTTTGTTGCACAGCTTGGTGTTTTCATGCTTCAGAGAAATGTAAGTTTGTAAGAGATCCAAACCAACGTTACAAGATAAAACTCAATACGAAATAATGACACTCTAGAACCTTTAAGTGCTACCTGACGTTAGTATAGTCATCATCCGCATGTAAGTTGTATGTAGTAGTGGTTTATAGGTTTTTTAAGCAAGCAAGCAAGGTTTATTTCTAGTAATTCTACAATGAATGGGGATAAAAAGCAAAATCAGCCCAAGGGTTGAATTGTACAGCGTTGACGAGCAAAGTGCATGGTGAAAAGTGGTCCGAAAGAAAACAGAAACAAGTGCACAATAACAGCCAAATTTCTCCAACGAATGCTGACGATAATGAAGTATCTCCGAGGACAAATATTAAAAAAGAAAATCATAATTCTCTGTCACATGATACATGTAAGCTAAGCTACTAATCAACAAACCATAAGAGTAAAGTACTAGTACATGTACATTTGTCAACTGCCTGGTGAGATAAGCACTTGTCTCAGACCGAATGTGAGAATGGACGGAGGGAGATAACCAAAACACATAACGTGATGTTTGAAGTGATGCGTTTTGTCTTTATTTGTACATCTTTTAGTTCCAACAGAGCTGCACGCACCCAATTCACGGATCCTGAGTTTGTAGGACTGATATATATAAGCGATATACAGTAAGTACAATGAAAGATACTGAACTAAAGTACAATGGAAGATTCAGTAAGCCTGACAATGGAAGATACAGTAAGTACCATGGAAAATCGGCGTCCGGCTCCGAGCCGTTCACCGTGGAGAAAAACATTAAAAACCATATTTGGCAAATAAGACATCTGTCTCCCCTACAATATACCAGTGGACACAGATGGACGACGATTCTGCAATCCGATTCAATGGAGTTCTTCGCAATCAGTATTTTTGAAATACCTTGGGAAAAATGAAGAATCGAATCATCAAAAGGTGATCCATCAGGGAAATAACAAGGCCAAACT